TTTAACCACTTATCACAAAAACCGACAATAACGGAAAAATTAAGGAAGGGAAGCGTAATTTGGTGGAGACTTTGGGTACACCATTAGAAATAAAGTGTCAAAAGTCCCCATCGATCCCATGTGTGCTAAAAAAGTTATTCAGAGTCAAAGGTTAAAATTTGAAGTTTTTTGGATTTTTTTCGAAAACTGTAAGTTTTATCAAAAAAGTAGCTATGACATAAATTATAGATCTTAAAATTATCTACAAAAATGGTCTCTATACTTTTTTTCTAAGAATCACCGTTCCCGGGATATCGCGATTCCAAAAGTTGAAGGAGACACGTTCTACATGATATGCACATATATGCCACGTATATACATAGTCAGGCACTTAATACGAGTAAAAACGCCTATTTGTGTCTCTTATATGTATAAACTATACCATTCTGAGAATATACACTCAAAAGAAACTCAGTCCCTTAGTCAATCCCCTCTACCCGCATGGTCTTGAATAACATCTGGCTATACTCTATTTTAAAAACTTTTGTAAAAAATACACGAAACAAGAAACAAGTACAACTATCCTGTCTTCCTCCAACATCGGCTTCTGCTAATCACTTGTATCGAGTATACTATCAAGTTCAGACATGGCTAGGCAATCAACTGAATCTAGTCGACTGGGGTTGGAAATTAACAGATAATACTTTGGAACCGATTCAAACTTTACTCTCACTTGCTCCGGAAAAACTCCTAAACACTATTTTTTGCAATTGCAGAAAAGGTTGTAGTGCTAAATGTGGTTGTAGAATAGTAGGGTTACTGTGTTCTCCAGCGTGTACTAATTGCCAAAGCCAGTCTTGCTCAAATGTCCAATTGAATACAACAGACGAAGATTCATGTGATTTCGATGAAAAGACAACTGATTCATCTCCATTTGAACAATTTATGAACATCCAGCAAGAAGAAGTGGAAAAAGAAGAAGACATGACTGTTGAAGTCGACTTTGAAGAGTATGAATCAGATTAAAATATCAAAAGAAATCAGAATTACAGTTAAAGTCAATAACCAATATCAATAATCATCATGCAGTTAAAAGAGTATTGTCCTTGAAAATTCTGTCATAACAGTTCGTGGAGTAAGCCTACCGGGGAACTCACGTTAAAAAAACGCGCCAAAGTACACTACCTCACAGGTGGTGTGGAAATCTAGAAGACCATTAGATATAGATATAAGGAAGTTTGATAAAAGTTTCACTGAAATTAATCATAGAATCCACATATGCAAAAATATACAAGGTCTTCGATTTAAAAAAAAACACCAGGGCCCAAATTTTCAACATTCAAATCGAAATAGTCTGAAATATTCTAATGGACCATCACTGTGAGACAGCCTGTTTAGGTGTAAGGTCGGTACAAAAATAGTACATGACGTAAAATAAATTTCCTAAAGGAGATTAAATTTTTCAAAAAGTTATCTCTTCCATTCTTGCTTTTTCTAAACAGTCACAGAAATGAAACCGAAACAATTTTCCCCAAAAATTATTGGAAACGTTATTTTTGTAGAAAACTATTTTGCCGATTCGGATTTTCTCCACAGACAAATTTAACCAGGACACAAATTAATAAACAAGGAACAACTCCAGCTTAAGCAAAGTCTCCCCGTGCGGATTTTCCAACGTAGTCTGCAGAAATTATGTAATCCGGCTTTGTAGTGAACACATAGTACACACAAATTACTACTCGTATATTCATTATCCCGGCTTTCCTTGAAGAAATGAAAGCAGGGCATTGTACTAGTAATGGAGAGCTACGCCGCCGCGTTGGGTGTCCGTTTCCAGAGGATTATTAAAACTAATATTGGCTCAGGCAGAAAATACAAACGGCTTCATTATATTAGGAGCCGCGCTCTAACGTGAATGTATAACAAAACCGCAAAAGGGTTCGATGAACGGGGACGATGGGATTCGTCAAATCGGTTTGTTAGGAGAAAAAAAACATAGTAGTGGATGCTCTATGAAAATTTGGTTGTATAAAAGTTCGAAGGTATTAGAGCAAAGTTGTCGAGCTCGAAATCAAAAATTTCATTATACAGGATGTCCCAAAAGTGACGCCCGTCTTTCTAGGATTTGATTAAGGAGACAAAAGCGAATTGAAAATCAAGAGTGAAACATTTTCCGATTGTTTTCCGTTGTTGAGTTATTCAAAAAAGTATTCAAAAAACTAAAAAAGTGAAAATCCATTTTTTTGTCTCAAAACTGAGGTCTGTACTTATGGGAACCAAGACAAATAATTTATAACCAATAGTAGATAAGTATAGTTTTCGATTGTCGGTTTTACCTGGGTGTAAGGAATTATTTTAACCTGAAAACGATAGAGTAAAACATTTTTATAATAAAACATAAACTAAAATCATAATGTGCATAAATAATAGAAATTGCTTTTACAAAAGGTGTTCAAATAAGTTGCCTTCTACTTCAAGACAAAGATTATCACGATTCAACATTGAAACATGAACCCTTTGTAGCATCTCTTGGTCTATTAACACGACAGCAGCGTATATACGGACTAAAAATCTTTTCTTTTAAATAACCCCAAAAGAAAAATATAGGGGATTCAGATCTGGTGATTCAGGAGGCCATGGTCCACCTCTTCCAATCCATCTGTCTCGGAAGTTTTGATTCAGATAACCATAATGTGATGGAGCCCATCATGTTGCAACCAATAATTTAGTCTAACTGCTAACGGAACGTCATGCAGCAATGGCAATGGTAAGTTTCATTTAAAAACATACAGCTGCAACAAATACAGCTTTGAACTACATAAATATTTAATATGACCCAGCCCAAATGTTTATTTTTAGTTTTTTAATTAATTTTTTGAATAACTCAGCAAAGAAAAACAATCGGAAAATTTTCCACTCTTGATTTTCGATTTGTTTTTCTCCCCTTAATCAAAACCCATAAACACGGGCGTCACGTTTGGGACACCCAAGCCAGGAAAATAAGCTGAGAAAATACCACTTCGCGGCTTTTTGTTTCGGCACACTGAATTTATCACTATAGATGCTAAATATTATGTACTATAACATATTAGTTTCCACAGTCATAAAAATGGGGGGAAGATTGTTTGCAGGGTGGTTAATTGTATAATTTTTATGTAAATTAACGTTTTTCGCTTATAACTTTTTCCGTTCATTTCCGCGAGAAAACAGTAATGTATTTTTTTTTTCGTCTTCAAAAGACCTACAAAACTACCCCTCGAACGTCAAAAAATATTGATTAGATCAAAAGTTATAAACATAATAAGTTTATTTATGACTTTTTAACTAAACATTTATAAACTGCATTATTATTACCAGAACATTTACAACAAATTAACTAATTATTAGTCTGAACGATCCCGAGCACCTTCCACAATCGCACTGATTATTTTCATGGTAGATTTCATAATAATGCATTGAAATCTTTTTTTTAGTTTCAAATTTCCAACTTGGAATTTTTTTTTTTTTTTTTTAGCCTTAGCTGCAAAATGAAATATGCGACGCACGAGCGTGATATATTATTACATATTCAGAAAGCTTATGAAAAGAGCTTTAAGTTAAAAAAAAATCGTCAAGATTCGTCGTAAAACAACGGAGTTACAGTTGCCGGCCTATTGGTAAACGAATTAGGTTGGTAGTGGCAAAAAAATACTGTCCTAACCGACAACCCGAGTACTTTCCCAGGTAAGAATATTTTACAAGTGGGTCGCTTGATTTTCGGCGAGCCGTGGTCCGGCGGAAGGATGGGGGAAGCGAACGACAGCGAGTCCGAAGAAAATGAAGATAATATTCATAGTCCTACCATTAATTAAGCGAAATCCGCTTGAAAATAATATATTTGACAGTCTGTAACTCCGTAGTTTTTCAGCGAATTTGTTTTTTAACTTAAAGCTCTTTTCATAAGCTTTCGAGTATGTAATAATATACAGTGTAGGAAAGTACCGATGGTCTATCAGAAGTTACGTGAGATCGATAAAGTAAGCCATAAAAATCCATGTGATAGACAAGGATGGCTATAATGAAGGCATCAAATAGTCAACGCCCATTTCGCCCTTCCACAAATAAGAAGTGGATCTTATTTGTGGAAGGGCGAAACGGGCGGTGACTATGAGACGCCTTCATTATAGCCATCCTTCTCTTTCGCATGGATTTCTATGGCTTACTTTATCGCTCTCACGTAACTTCAGATAAGACCATCGTTACTTTCCTACCCTGTATAACTATATCACGCTCGTGCGTCGTATGCAACTAAGGCATAGGATTGCAAATTTGAAATTAAAAAAAAATGATAGATTTCAATGTACTATTTTGAAATCCACCATGGAAAAAATCAGTGCGATTGTGGAAGATCCTCGGGATCGTCCAGACTAATAATTAGTTAATTTGTTTATAAGACCATAACTTGTAAACTATTCAACTTACCGATTCCAGATTTCGTGGAGTTATTAGACAGTGATAAGGAATGAGAGGATGCGATACCAAAACGTTATGGTAATAATAACGCAGTTTATAAATGTTTAATTCGGAAGTCATAAATAAATTTCTTCTGTTTATAACTTTTGATGTAATCAATATTTTTTGATGCTCGAGGGCTAGTTTTGTAGGTCTTTTGAAGATGAAAAGAAAAGTACCTTACTGTTTTCTCGTAGAAATGAACGGAAAAAAGTTATAAGCGAAAAACGTGAATTTACGTAAAAATTATACAATTAACCACCCTGTACACAATCTTCTCCCCATTTTTATGACTGTGGAAACTAATATGTTATTGTACATAATATTTAGCATCTATAGTGGTAAATTCAGCTTGCCGAAACAAAAAGTCGCGTCCAACTCTATATTTCCTGGCCTATATAAATGAAAAATTGGACAGTGTAATATTCTTGCAATAATTTCAATAAATTATCAAGTTCTTCATGAATTAATTCAAAAATTTTTTGATTGTAAAGGTAGTAACAGTGGGTATCGAAAATAGAGTTCCATCATCATTTTTCAAAGATTTTGTGTAAAATTTTATTTATTTGACCATTTGTACATTTCACATCGAAAATCGGCAGTATTTTAGGCAAGTTGTACTTCCTTCCTACAGAGGCGCTACCGGGAGGTGATCACCCGACGGTTGGAACCCGTTCTCATTCGCCAGGTAGGTGAGATAGATGTGTTGTCCCTCTGGGGAGGTGTACGAGAATGAACCGTGGACTTCCTCAGCCTCCAGGTTCTCCACGCCTGGGTTCTTAAGGACTCCTTCCTCGTTGACGACGATACCGTTGCCGGTTTCGTACGAGGAGTGGTAGCTGCCGTC